AACATATGAAGCTGGTAGCTGGCGCATTTCCCAAATACAGATGTTGCGTATCGCAAGGGGGCGGTAGGTTTAGGCCTTAAGCCTAAATATTTCAAAAAGCTGGTGCTCCGCCCTAATGTCATTTTTTCTAATACTCTCAAATACGTATGAGTGTACGCATGCGTGTGTGTATAACTATAAATGCGCATGTATGTATACACATAAGTATTAACGCGAAGACTTGGGCCGTTAGCAAGTCCTTCCCGCCGGACAACGAACTTTCGTTAAGTTTCCCCTTCTATATCGGTGTTTGTCCGGCGGTACGCAACTAACGCGATTTAATTTAATCTGTCACTTCTCGTTTGAGTCTACACGGAAGATAACACGGAGATACCAGCGTCAGCGATATTCACTTATTAAGGTAATATACTATCTTATATATATAAAAATGAAATGTTTTTCGTATGACCGCGATGCCTGACCAAACGGCTGAACCGATTTCAATTCTGTAAAAAGTACGTTTTTGGACCTTCTGTGTGGAAGGTTTTTCGATTTAAAAAAATTTGAATTTTTTTGTTGTTGTCGCCGAAAAATGAAGAATGCCGAGACGTCACGATTTCACAATTTCATAGAGTTTTCTGTACATTAAATGTCACCAAACTACTAAAAGTCTGGACCGATTTGGTTCGAATTTGGTTCGTATTTCAGTACCATGAAAAGAAATATTTCTACCAAAAATTTACCCGCTAGGTGGCGCTAGGGTCAGGATATTCCTGAAAATTGCATTTACTTGCCGATTTGGCTCATATTTTGAACATAAGTTAGCCATTTGAAAAGGAATATTTGGACTAAAAAATTGCACGATAGGAGGCGCTGGGGTCGGGATATTCTCAAAAATTATTTTACGCTAAGAGAAGGATAGATATCTACTATATATTTGTGGAAGTATGTATGTATGTGCCAGGTTACAGCCTAAACGGACGGACAGAATCGAACGAAATTCGGACAGAGTATTGCCATTACACCTGGGCCTATATTAGGGAGAAAAAAATCAGGATTCGACACTGGGGCGTGGCACCTCCCATAGGCGTGAAAGTTTTTATCAGCTATAACTTCGGAACCACAAGCCCCACGAACTTGAAATTTGGTATGCAAGCACAGCTACGGTAGGTGCTTATAGTAAGGTGTATATGAATAAGTTTAAAAAAGGGGGCGTAGCACATCCCGTAGGCGTGGAATTTTTTATCAGCTATAACTTCGGAACCACAAGCCCCACGAACTTGAAATTTGGTATGCAAGCACAGCTACGGTAGGTGCTTATAGTAAGGTGTATATGAATAAGTTTAAAAAAGGGGGCGTAGCACATCCCGTAGGCGTGGAATTTTTTATCAGCTAAAACTTCGAAATCATAAGTCATGTGAACTTTGAATTTGGGATGCAGACATATCTATGGTAGGCGCTTATAATAAGGTATATATAAATGAGTTTGTAAAAGAGGGCGTGGCACATCCCATAGGCGTGGAATATTTATCAGCTATAACTTCGGAACCATAAGCCCCGTGAACTTGAATTTTGGTATGCAGGCACAGCTACGGTAGGTGCTTATAGTAAGGTGTATATGAATGAGTTTAAAAAAGGGGGCGTGGCACATCCCATAGGCGTGGAAATTTTTTCAGCTATAACTTCGCAACCATAATCCCCATGAACTTGAAATTTGGTATGCAGACTCAGCTACGGTAGGTGCTTATAGTAAGGTGTATATGAATAAGTTTAAAAAAGGGGGCGTAGCACATCCCGTAGTTGTGGAATTTTTTACCAGCTATAAATTCGAAAGCATAAGTCACATGAACCTTAAATTTGGTACGCAGGCTTAGCTATGGAAGGTGCTTATAGTAGGCTATAAATAAATGGGTTTGTAAAAGGGGGCGTGGCACATCCCGTAGGCGTGGAATTTTTTGTCAGCTATAACTTCGAAATCGTAAGTCATATGAACTTGAAATTTAGTATGCAGGCACAGCTACGGTAGGTGCTTATACTNACAATTTCATAGAGTTTTCTGTACATTAAATGTCACCAAACTACTAAAAGTCTGGACCGATTTGGTTCGAATTTGGTTCGTATTTCAGTACCATGAAAAGAAATATTTCTACCAAAAATTTACC